GACTTAGTGTTAGAGTGTTTGCCTAGCATGCATGAAGCCCTGGGTTTGATTCCTCAGTACCACATAAACAGAAAAAGCCAGAAGTGGTGCTGTGGTAAGTGGTAGGGTGCTAGCAGGCCCTGAGTTCAAGCCCCAGGACTGGCAAGAAAAAAAAAGAGAAAAAAGAAAAAGAAAAAGAAAAAAATGCAGGCCTGAAGTGGGGAGAGAGCTTTCAGTACCAATTTGGAAAGCATATTGGGTATGGGGTAGTTGAACTGATATGATGGAGGAAGTAAGGATGGAATATAATATTTGACTTGGTTTGCATAAAATGGATAATGAATTATTTTGATATAAATGTTACTATGCATTCTGTAGATAAGACTTCCCTGGTAACTAGCTATTTTAGCTAGTAACTGTAACTGTAACTCTGTAACTCTGCTTCTGCTGTTTTCTGAACAATGCCAGCCCTAACCCAGCTGAACCATTACCACCTTTTGTTCTATTCCTCTGCCTCCTACCAGCAAAACCTTGGTGGAAAATTTAAACTTAAGGTGCAAATTTCTTGTAACAACCATTGGCTAAAACCAACACCCAACCTCCCCCTACCCTGTCCTAGCCAAAAATGCTTAAAAGCCAATGTGTGCTGGCATTCTGGGCCATTTCCTGGGATTCCTGACTCCAGGTAGGGTCCTGGCACATCAACACTTTTCACTCAATAAAAACTTTTTCACTGAGGACTGAGTGGTCTCACATCCACACTACAAAACAAATGGGATTCGATACAAATCTCTAGATATGTGTGAAATGAAGAGATGACCCAAGGAGGAAGAGAAAGAGAAAAACCAGAACAGTAAAAAGGATAGCTAGGAAAGAATGGTGTTCTAAGAGTGGAGAAGTACTATGAATACTAAACTTGGCAACTGGACTTCATTATTGTTAATAGATATAGGAAGTGAGCCTGATTTCAACACATTTAGAAGAAAATGGGGGGAGGGCCACAAGCAGAGAGAGTCTTACAGTCTTTTTACACATCTTGGAGATTACTGCAGCAGGCCCGACCCTTGGCTAACCCAATTAGGGCAGTTTCCTTAAGCCTTTGATGGGCTGGGCAATATGGATCACTCAGTGCCAAAGTTTTATGATTAGCCATAGTCCTAAGAGCCCATGAAGAAAGCAGGTATAGAGCAGACAAAACCATATTGGTTTTGTCTCAGGCTTTCCCCTTCTAGTGACACCTTTGCTTTTAAGCTCTGAATCATTATTTTCTAGTTACCACTCTATGGCCCTCAGATTATGAACTCCTGGTTAGGGGTGAATTCCCAGAATGCCCACAAATAATCTTACGTGTTTATTTTGTGAATGATTGAATGAAAAAGAAACAATAAATATCTGTCTTTTAAATCTTCAAATAATCCCATTTTGGTGGTCTCACAGATTTAATAAGAATAGAAGGACTAAGGAAAAGATCGATAAACAGTTGTAAATGTTGCAAATTGATGAGGACCGAAAGTTGTCTGATCTTTGGGTTTTTCTATTAGTTTGCATACTGAAAATATTAGAGCAAAATTCTGGAACAGAAGGTATATTTAAGTTTGTTGAACACACATGAGAAAGGGAACAAAGAAACCACCCAGGAGAAGTTCCTTTTTTTACTTCATTTTTAAAGGTTTAAGGCTATTGGGATGAAACTATTGGAGAAGAAACCCAGACTTCCTTGATTTAGCTCATTATATGGTTAATTGTATGCATGTGGGTTGCTTATAGCTAAATATTCCTACATTATAATCATTGGTTTCTTCCTTCCTCCTTCCCTTGGTTTTTCTTTTGTTTGTTTGTTTTTTCCTGTGCAGGTTTGAACTGTGGCTGCTCTCCCTTAGCTTTTTCACTTAAGGCAGGCATTCTATCACTTGACCCACAGCTCCATTTCTGATTTTCTGCTGGTTTATTGGAGATAAGAGTCTTATGGACTTCCCTGCCTGAGCTAGTTTTGAACCATGATCTTCAGATCTTAGCCTACTGAGTAGCTATGATTACAGGTCTGAGCCATTGGTGCCTGGCTCATCCTTGGTTTATTTTTTTAAATTAGTTAATGAATTTTCTTTTTTGGTCAGTCATGGGGCTTGAACTCAGGCTGCTGGGTACTGTCCCTGACCTCTTTCACTCAAGGTTAGCACTCTACCAATTTGAGCCACAATTCCACTTTTGTTTTTTTTGTTTTGTTTTGTTTGGGAGTTGTGGTGGTGGTGAATTGTAGATAAGAATCTCATCGGCTTTCCTGTCTGAGCTGACTTTGAACCTCAATCCTCAGATCTCAGCCTCCTGAGTAGCTAGGATTACAGGCCTGAGCCACCAGCCCTGATTCCCCCTTGGTTTTGAAACCTAATTTGAATTTGAAGGCTTTTGCTATGCTATTTGGGGGCCTCCTAGTGGCACATCTAGTAATGGTATTTAAATAGTAATGTAGTGGAGCTTGAACTCTGGGCCTCGGAGCTGTCCCTGAGCTCTTCAGCTCAAGGCTAGTGCTCTACTACTTGAGCCATAGCACCACTTCTGATTTTCTGGTGGTGAACTGGAGATAAGAGTCTCACAGACTTTCCTGCCAGGACTGGCTTTCAACTGCTATCTCAGATCTCAGCCTCCTGAATAGCTAGGATTACAGGTGTGAGCGCTGACGCTTGGCTTTGGGTTGTTCTTTCTATGAGAGTTGGTATGTAGTAATTACAAATGCTTGGATCTTTGACTTTCAGTGAGTCATGATGTGAAACCTACAAATTTGTCTTACTACAAATTTGTCTCCCCAATAATTCATTAGTATAAGCAGTTTGTAACTTACTATATATCTATTTTAGTTGCTCATACTGTAGCAGCTGCATCACTGTACTCTGATACCAAAATCTTAGCTAGAGGACATTGGTCTATATGGCTTTGATGTTATATTTGAGTTGAAGGTTAGTCAAGAATTGCCTGAATTACCAAACAAAAGAGACTGACCTTGTTAAAATAATACAAATTAATTATCACAACAAAAAACTTAGAATGTAGATATATTTTAAAAATTTATCCATGATGTTGAGTGCCAGGGGCTCACACCTGTAATCCTACCTACTCAGGAGGCCAAGATCTGAGAATCCCAGTTTGAAGCCAGCCTGGGCAGGAAAGTCTGTTGAGACTCTTTTCTTTTTTTGTCGGTCGTGGGGCCTGAACTCTGGGCCTGGGTGCTGTCTCTCAGCTCTTCAGCTCAAAGCTGGTGCTCTACCACTTGAGCCACAGTGCCACTTCCGGCTTTTTCTGCTTATGTGGTGCTGAGGAATCGAACCCAGGGCTTCATGCATGCAAGGCAAGCAAGTACTCTACCACTGAGCCACCTTCTCAGCCCCAAGTCTGTGAGACTCTTATCTCCAATCATGTATCTCTTGCATTCTCTTTCCCTCCCTCCCTCCCTCCCTTCCTTTTTCTCTTTCTTCTTACCTCCCTCCCTCCTTCCCTTCCCTCCCTCCCTTCCTCCCTCCCTCCCTTCCTTCCTTCCTTCCTTCCTTCCTTCCTTCCTTCCTTCCTTTCCTCTTTTTCCTCTCCCCCACTCCAACCCCCTTTCTCTCCTTTTTCCTCCCTTTCTTTCGGTGCTGGTACTAGGGTTTGAACTCAGCCTTGGAACTGTCCCTTAAGCTTTTTTGCACTTGAGCCACAGCAGATTCACTTCAGGCTTTGTGGTTAATTTGAGATTAGAGCTTCATCCTAGCTTGCTTCAAACCACAATCCTCAGATCTCAGCCTCCTGATAGTTAGGATTATAAGTATATGAGCTTCCCATGCCTGACTTTGGTATGATTCTTTATCTCAGTAAATAAGATGTTTACTTAGATTTAGTTATATCAAATGCCACAGCTAATGAGAAATTTGAGTGGTAATAAAGTTCTCTTTTTCTATATCTTATAAAATGATTACTAGTCAAATATTAGGAAAGAAGATAAATATAGATAAAATTGTTAATTGTATGAACAGATTGAAAATAGAACATAGACTCACATATGCATTTTGAAGAAAACTTCACTGTTTTTATATTCTTTGCCTTCTAGTTAGAACCTTCTATTTCGGTTTGGGGGAGTTGAGTTCGAAGTTGAAGGAAAAAGGAGCCCAAAACTTACAGAAATAATCTATGCAGTAAAAAGAACAGGTAACTTGTCATACAATGAAATGAATGCATTAAGCTAAATTATTATTTCAGTGAAAAAAATTGCAATATAACAAATAAGTGTACTAAAATTTTTTTTTTGGGGGGGGTCGGTTGTGGGGCTGGAACTCTGGGCCTGAGCGCTGTTCCTCAGCTCTTCAGTTCAAGGCTAGTGTTATACCACTTGAGCTACAGCACCACTTCCGGTTTTCTGGTGGTTTATTGGAGATAAGAGTTTCATGGACTTTCCTGCCCAGGCTGGCTTTACTGTGATCCTCAGATCTCAGCCTCCTGAGTAGCTAGGATTATAGGTGTGAGCCACTGGCACCCGGCTCATATTAAAATTTTATTTGTTTAATACTTAGCTTTATTTCTCTGAGAGTCTTTAGATGAAGATTTTTTTTTTTTTGGTCCGCAATGAGGCTTGAACTCTGGGCCTGGGCGCTGTCCCTCAGCTCTTCAGCTCTAGGCGAGCGCTCTACCATTTGAGCTACAGCACCACTTCCGGTTTTCTGGTGGTTTATTGGAGATAGGAGTCTCAGGGTCTCTCCTGCCCAGGCTGGCTTTGAACTGCGATCCTCAGATCTCAGCCTCCTGAGTAGCTAGGATTACAGGCGTGAGCCACCAGCGCCTGGCTAGATGAAGATTTTTTTATGACTATTTTGATTTATATGTATCATATTTCAATTATGATTTCTTGTGTATTTATGAATTTTATAATCAAGTGGAATTTCAAAAATACCACCTCTATTCATTATCTTTTTATTCACTATATTTTATTTGGGTAAATTATTTTGGTAAAAAGATGTAAGTCTGACAAAAAGTAATTTTGTACTTTTAATTTGCATCAGAAATTATGAGTGGAAGATCTCAAGTCCACATTTTTTGGGGTGCTCCAGTTGTTCCACTGAATATGACGGTATCCCAAGGAACAACTTCCTCAAAGCCCACTGCTGCCCCCTGGAAGGAAATGCAGCTTTTATACAATCAGGGTTCTTTCCATCTGAATGAAAACCATGAGCTCCAAGACCTGAAAGATAATCAGATCCTGGAAGCTGCAGGACTTCCAAGCCTTCTTAGTGGCCATCTTTTAGAGACCTCCATGTATAGATCTGTTCTGTTGAAAGATGACCGTCTACATTGCACACAGAACGTAAAATCCCAGGAGAGTCCCCCCTCGGGCCCCAGTGATGAGGCTTGTGGATTTAAAAGCATCGTTCAGCATCTACCTGAAGAAGAAATATTTCAAGAGCTTCACTGTAAAAATAAGAACATTATAGGTGAACAGCCCCCAAATCAGTCAAACATATGTGGCCAAAACTTTCAAACAAATTCCTTTCAGTTAAATCATAAATGTGCAGCTATGTTGGATTTGGCCTGTGGTACTGAACAGATTAACATTGAGCCAGAAACTACAGAAACAAAGAGTGTGCCAACAGAACACCATGGAATACAAAACCAGCCTGGGACATGGTCTGAAGGAGCAGTCAAGAAAACCTCCAATCCAGGAGTATCTACTGACACGGAGTTTCTCAGTATATTGACTTCTAGTCAGGTTGCTTTTTTAGCCCAAAAGAAGGATACAGGCAAGGAGACTATAAATAAAGGCATCATAAATATGCAGATTGAATCAAAACCAGGTCCTGGGGTCTTAGGAACAACTGCCACTAATCTGATTCAGCCAAATGGTTTTGCAGAAGGTTGTGAAAGTAGGCAGAACCAAGCCTGTTCTGGAGAACTTCTGAGCCGTGTTTGTCCTGAAACAAAAAATAGCCTCGTTCACATCAGTCCTGCAAAAGGTCTGAAAGAAAATTTGGGATCTGAAGAACTTTACAGTTCTGATGATGAGCTGCCACCGAATGAGATACACATTGAGCTGTGTAGCTCAGGGTTCCTGTGTTCCCAACTAAATGCTTCCCATCAAAGTGCTACTGAACAAAAATGGACTTCTAAAGATAAATTGGACCACCCCAGTGCTCGGTCTAAAGTACTCCCAGTGCCTAAGAAGCCGAAGTTAGATTCTAATGCAGGAGAGGCAGCTGGAGCAACGTGTCAGAGGAATGTGTCTGCACTTAAGAATATTAAAAAAATAACATTAATCAAAAATTGTGATTCTAAAAGTCACAAGTATAATTGTTTAGTTATGGTGCTAGCTCCATGTCATGTGAAAGAAATAAACATAAAATCTGGACCAAATTCTGGTTCAAAAGTGCCTTTGTCAACAATTGAAGTAATTGACCAATCAGAAATTAAGAAGAGGGTTGTGTTGTGGAGGACTGCAGCATTTTGGGCACTTACAGTATTTCTTGGAGATATAATTTTACTGACAGGTGAGATCATCGAGGTAGTGGTGTCATCTTATTTCATAAAGCTGTTTCTTCTTTTTTTTTTTGTATTGGTGTTGGGGCTTGGACTCATCTGGGGACTGTCCGTTAGCAAGCATTTTTCCTCAAGTTTAGTACTCTACCTCTTGAGCCACAACTCCACTTTGGGCTTTTTGATGCTTTACTTGAGTAATCTCACAGGGCTGGCTTGGAACTAGGTCCTCAGATCTCAGCATCTTGAGTAGCTAGGATTACAGGTATGAACCAGCAAGGCTCAGCAAAGCTGGAGTTTGATTTGTTGTCTCTCACTTTTAAGTCTTTGAGGACTGTCTGTACCATTTGCCTTCACTGGATTCAGCATGACTGGTGCCTAATAGCATCTGTGTTTGTCTCCTTACCTGAGTATCCTACGCGTTGCTATTTCTGAACCTCTCTTTTATTGTTACTTCTCATTTATTATTTATTTATTTTTATTATTCTCTCCTTACTTTGATCCTACCTTTCCACTTACTCTCTCCTCTATGAAGCCTTCTTTGATTGTTCCTATTTCTCATTCACCATCTAACTGTTTGAGTCATAGTATTAGTCTCCTCTTCATTGCCTTATGATTTTTGTCTACATGTCGTATTGTTAGCCCTTCACTTTATGTTAACAGTCATATGATGGACAGTGGTACTGCTTTGCTATTGCTGGTAATGCTGTTGTATTGTGCTCTTACTGAAGAAACAGGTAAAAACTGTATGAGGAAGATCCTGTTTATGATCTCCATTTTTCAGTTGAGAAAATTGAGGCTTAAGAAGTCATACTTATAGGAAAGGGCAAAGCCATAATTACACCTAGACTCCAGAATCTATGCTCATCTAGTTATATACATAATTTCTATCCTGCTTTTTCACCTATCATAAAAAATCTAGCTGGGCGCTGGTGGCTCACACCTATAATCCTAGCTACTACTCAGGAGACTGAGATCTGAGGCTCATGGTTCAAAGCCGGCCTGGGCAGGAAAGTCTGTGAGACTATGATTTCCCATAAACTACTAGAAAACAAGAAGTGGTGCTGTGGCTCAAGAGGTAGAGCACTTGCCTTGAGCTGAAGAGTGTAAGGATAGTGCCCAGGCCTAGAGTTCAAGCCCCACAACCGACAAAAAAAAAAAAAAAGAAATCTAGGATTTTATTATATGTTCTATGTAGGTTAAAATCAATACACAGAGTCAGGTGGCTCATGCCTTTAATCCTAGCTACTCGGGAGACTAATATCTGAGGATCACAGTTCAAAGCCAGCCCGGGCAAGAAAGTCAATGAGACTCTTATCTCCAATAAACCACCAGAAAACAGGAAGTGGCACTGTGGCTCAAGTGGTAGAGCATTCACCTTGAGCTGAAGAGCTGAGGGACAGCACCTAGGCCGAGTTCAAGCCCCATGACTGACAAAAAAAAAAGTCAATACACAGTGTATTAGTGCCAGGAGGAAACTGATTAAGCTTAATAACCTGTCTAAGAAAGGATGTAATGGACAAGAGGTAGATACAGGTTTCGTTAGCTTCAAAAGAAGGAAACCACAGTATTTAAGAAACAGAAGATTTAATTTATCAGAAATATTCTTTAGAGTTTGGTGATGGTGGCTCATACCGGTAATTGTAGCTGTCAGAAGGCTGCAATCTGAGGATTGCAGTTCAAAGCCTGGGTAGAAAAGTCTGTGAAACTCTTTCTTTTCAATTAACCAGCTAAAATCTAGAAGTGGAACTATAAGAATTATTTATCTGCCTAGCTTGAAGAAGGTAAGACACATTTTGAATGTATTAATTTCTGGTAGAGTACCAGCCTTAAGTAGAAAGCCATACTAGAACACAGGGCCCTGAGTTCAAACCCCAGTACCAACACCAAAAACAGAGCCGTTAGCTCAATTGCCTTAAGTAATGGAAACTTTTTCAGTAGAGCAGTGAGCTTCTGTAACAATACCATTAAAGTTTTTTTGTACTGTTCCTGGGGCTTCAACTCCTGGCCTAGGTGCTATTCCTGAGCTTTGTTTACTTGAGGCTAGTGCTCTACCATTTGAACCAAAGCCCCATTTCTGTCTTTTTTGGTACTTTAGTGAGGGTTAAGTGTTTCATAGACTTTCCTGCCTGGGCTGGCTTCAAACCATGATAGGTCAGTTAACCACAGACTGAAGTAAGGCATGATCACAATTTTTCTCCCCCTCTAGATGTTACTACTCATGAGGATCAATGGATTGGTGAGACAGTACTCCAGTCAACATTTACCAGTCAGTTATTGAATCTTGGGAATTATTCATCTGTCCAGCCTGAAAAATGTAAGACATACATTTTGAATGTATTAATTTCTTAATACTGAAAGTACAGGTGCTACCAAATTTATTACACTTCAATTTATGTTTTTTTTTCACTTTAACATATGCACAGCCTTTGGGTTGTGAATTTTGATTCTTAACAGATGCTAGGAGAAAGCAGGGCATGCGCAGGGAGAACCAGCGCAGGGAGAACCAGCCAGGTGGCCTCAGCCTGGAAGGGAGCAGGGCATGTTCAGGGAAAGCCAGCCAGGTGGCTCATAGAGTATTTCACATGTGATACCAAGCAGCTGTGACAATGGTCAAGATATTTGGGGAAGACAGGACCAAGTAAGACTCTAGGAACTGAGGAACCAATGGGATACAAGGTGGTAAGGAAGTTAAAAAGCAATGGAGTTAAGAGCCACATGCTGATCTGACACATTTGTAATATTGCTCAGGAGGCTTGAGATCTGAAGATTATGGTTCAAAACCAGCCCAGCAGGAAAGTCTGTGAGGCTCTTATTTCCAATAAACACCAAAAGTCTGGAGTTAGATCTGTGGCTCATGTGGTAGAGTGTTAGCCTTGAGCACAAAAGTTCAGAGACAGTGCCCAGGCCCAGAGTTCACACCCTTGGACTGGCACAAAAAAAAATAAAAAGGGTAATGGAGTAAAAAAAAATGGTTTATTAGTAAGGATGGCCAATAAACACATGAGGGATTGCTAAACATCTCTGGCCACAAAGAATATGCAAATCAAACAAAACTGAAATTTCATCTCACCATAGTCAGATTGACCATCATCAAGAATATGAACAACCACGAATGCTGGCAGAGAAGTAGGGGAAAGGAACCCTATTAAACGGTTGGTATAGACTAGTGCAACCACTCTGAAGACAGTCTAAAGATTCCTCAACAAAATAAACATAAAAATCCATGGGTGGATGGAATGGCGCAAGTGGTAGACTGCTAGTCTAGCAAGCATGGGACCCTGAGTTCAAAACCACCCTATGATCCAGTAATACTACTCTTGGGCATCTGTCTAGAATATTGGTACAGTAAAGACACTTGCACATCCATGTTCATTGCTGCTCTATTCCAAGTAGCCAACCTATGGAAGCAGCTCAGATGCCCTACAATAAGTGAAGAGATCAAGAAAATGTGGTATATTTAGACAATGGAATATTACTCATCTATCAGAACGAATAACATTATGTTTTCTGCAGGGAAATGGATGGACCTAGAAAAATTATGTTAATGTGAAGTAAGTCAGGCTCAGAGAGGCAAACAGTGAATGTGTTCTGTCATGCGTGGAAGTTAGATCTAGATTATAAACATATATGAAAACATAGAGGGGTATATGTGTATGTATACAAACAAATTGACTAAAGATGGTATACTTAGGACAGGAGTCCAATGGAGTGACTCCTCTGAACACCTAACCAACCATTTAATAACATGAATACTAGGAAGCTGACACATGTTTTATTGAAGGGGAGAAGGTCAAGGGGAGGGAGGACAGATGGAGAAAGGAAGAGTCATTAGATTCAATATATATTTTATATATAAGTTGAACTATATAATGAATGTATATGGATGAGATTGGGAAAAATAGGATAGAATGATGAAAGGAGTGACATTGATCAAGAGGCATTGTCTCATACTTAATCTGACCTGTTGAAACTCCTTGGTACATGTACTTAAAATCACATTTTAAAATTTTAATAAAAGATAATCGGTTTATTAAGAAGAGAAATATATGTAGCCACATAGAGAAGTAAAGTAACAAAATAAAACTTTGGGAGATGGTAAATAATTCTGTTTCCATTGCTTAAAAATATCAGCTTTTAGCCCAGTGCTGATGGTTCATGCCTGTAATCCTAGCTACTTAGGAGGCTGAGATATGAGGATCACGGTTCAAGGCCAGCCCAGGCAAGAAAGTCCATGAGACTCTTATCTCTAGTAATCCACCAAAAAACTGGAAGTGGTGCTGTGGCTCAAGTGGTAGAGTACTAGCCTTGAGCTGAAGAGCTGAGGGACAGTGCCCAGGCCCAGAATTAAAGCCCATGACTGACAAAAATAAATATAAATAAATAATATATATGTATCAGCCTTTAGTTTTGGTTCTGTAGTAACTCAAAAAGCTGCATGTTTTGTAGAAATGAAGTCCTGTTTAACATCTAATCATGCAACATAAAATACAGTTCTAAGAAAATAGGCAGTTGTCAAGAAAGTACCATGCTGCCATTTTGTTTGTGTGTACTTTCTTCCTTAGATTTCAGTACAGTTGGCAATGTTGTGCTTCAGGACCTACTGGCATATGTGAGTTTACAGTACTCATATCTCAGAGATCTTCCTCCCAGGCGACCTCAGAGAGTGAACACTATAGAGTTTGTAGAATTGGCACAGCTGCAACCTGATATCCTGGTCCATGCTCTGCTAAGAGTGGTGGATATTACCATACTGACAGGTAAGCATTTTGACTGCCTCTTTAATTTTAGGTTATGAAAATTAAGGTACCTACCAGGCACCAATGGCTCATGCCTGTAATCCTAGCTATTCAGGAGGCTGGAGATCTGAGGATTACAGTTTGAAATCATCTGGGGCAGGACATCTATGAGACTCTTAGGTCCAGTTAACCACCAAAAAGCCAGAAGTGGAGGCATCACCCAAATGTTAAGAGTGCTAAATTTAAGCAGAAAAGCTCTAGGGCAGTGCCTAGGCCCTGAGTTCAAGCTTCAGAACCGGCACCAAAAGAAACAAAACAAAACAAAAATTAAGGTACCAAACCATCTTAGTGTATCATTAAGTGATCATTGTGTTTTTCCTGAGATACAGTGTTACCTGTACCCTAATGCCAACTAAGGTACTTCTTTTTCCTCTTACAGAAGCATTGTATACTTACAGAGGACAGAAGCAAAGGAAAATCGTATTAACAGTGGAACAGGCCCAAGGGCAACATTACACGCTTGTGTTATGGGGTCCTGGAGCAGCCTGGTGCCCTCAACTTCAAAGGAAAAAAGGTAAATACACCAAAAAGCCTTTCATCTATTTATACTTTGTAAATGATTAATGAGTCTAAGATGCAAAAAATCTGAACACTGGATAGCATGCAAAATAAAAGTGACCATAAATATTCTGCCTATTTCTAGGTTATAATTTTATACTTTCAGCAACTTAAAAAAAATAACTGAAGTCTTCTATAATTAGTAGTGGCAAAATAAAAGATTAAATTTAGGGCTGGGAAGGTGGCTCAGTGGTAGAGCACTTGCCTTGGATGCCTGAGACCCTGGGTTCAATTCCTCAGCACCACATAAGCAAAAAGAAAAAAGCCAGAAGTGACGCTGTGGCTCAAGTGGTAGAGCACTAGCCTTGAGCTGAAGAGCTGAGGGACAGCGCCCAGGCCCAGAGTTCAGGCCCCATGACTGGACCCAAAAAAGAAAAAAAAAAAAGATTAAGTTTAATCTCAGGTATACTACTTTACCTTCTGAGTGAAGGTCTTATTTTGTTCAAATAATGTTCTTTAGAATTTAATTATGGAGAAGCTCCTTCGGTTTTTTTGTTTTATTTTATTTCTAGTTTGGTTTTGCCAAAGTTCTCTGGTTTTAAGATATAGCTTAGGGAGTTACCATAACTTTCAAATTATAGGCATTAGTTTACAAATAACTGTCTTTGAGATTTTTTTCCATTTGTTTTAAAGGCATGAGCTGTTAGCTATCATAGGGCACTTTTTTGTTTGTTTTTGGATTTCTTCTTATCATTATTATTAAGTAGCTGTACAAAGGGTTACAATTCCATAATTGTAACTCAGGTCAGTGTCACCCCTTCCTTTGTTGTTTCCCATTTTCCCCCTCCCATCCCTACCCTCACATTACATAGTTCACTATTTACATGATGTACATTGAATATAATTATTACATTTGCTCAAGGATGGTCATTTTTAAAATATGACTCAAAGCTGGGTACAATGGCACATACCTATAATCCTAGTACTCTGGAGGCAGAAGCAGGAGGGTCAAGACTTTAAAGTCAGACTGAACTATAGTAGCTAGACTGTATCTAAACAAATTAAAAAGAAAAGAAAAAAATCACATATGGACTAATATTACATTTTTCTTTAAAATATAAATCAAGGGCTGGGAAGGTGGCTCAGTGGTAGAGTGTTTGCCTTGCATGCATGAGGCCCTGGGTTCGATTCCTCAGCACCATATAAGCAGATAAAGCCGGAAGTGGCTCTGTGGCTCAAGTGATAGAGAGCTAGCCTTGAGCTGAAGAGCTGAGGGACAGCGCCCAGACCCGGAGTTCAGGCCCATGACTGGCAGAATAAAAGAAAAAATAGAAACAAAATCAATATTTTGTTATGTATAGATTCATGTTTCTATAAATTAGTGTCTTTTGCTATTGTGAGATTGTTTAGTAAACAGTCAAAAATGGTTTAATTAGTTGTCTATAAGTTATTTTTTTCCCTCAAGAAATAGTTTGGTTAAGTATATAACCCACATACATTTTCCCCTCAACCCCTCCTCCCTCCCCCAGTATTGGAGCTTGGACTCCGGGTCTTGCACACTCATTTGGCTTTTTTGCGCAGTGCTGGTGCTCTACCACTTGAGCCACCTTCACTTTATAGGTTTTTTTTGCTGCTTAGTTGGAGATAAAGGCCTCACAAACTTTCCTGCCCGGGCTGGCCAGAAATGCGATCCTCATATTTCAGTCTTCTGGCTAACTAGGATTACCGGCTGTGAGTCACTGCTGGTGCCTGGCACTTTTTTTTTTTTTTTTTTTGAGACTGCATCTCACTATGTCATCCACGCTGACCTGGAAGGAACCCACTATGCAACGCAGCCTGGCCTAGAATTCACAGTCCTCCTGCTTTCAGCCTCTTGAGTACTAGGATTACCACTGTGTAGCACCATACCCAAAACTCAACCCATTATATTTTACCTGAAGGAGTTAATGTCTCTTTCCAAACTTCTGCCTCCTCCCTAGTTATTTGTAGGTAGGATCTGTCACATTGCCTCTTAATCATTAATAGGGTTTGAGATTAGTCTGACTTTTGACTTTTATGTTAGGGTCAATGACAAGTATTTGTTCAGTTGAGAAATTTGACAAACATGTATTGATGATAGATGGGCATGATCCCTTAGTGGCATGCCTCCCCTGGGAACATGCATGTAGTGCATGCTGGGCTGATAGGTAGGTCAGAGGTAGACTGGAACTGAGGCAAAGCCCATGGCACCATACCTACTCTGAATATTCTCTTAAGTAGTTATTTGGTAATAGAAGAGAATTTATCATTATCCCTAGATACTTCTGTATACTTATGTTACTATTGAAAACCTATGCATTCAGGAATTAAGATACAGTTGTTATTTATGTAATTTGTTAATTTGGCTTGCCTTTATTTATATCATCACTTTTAAGTTTTAAAATTCATATCACTTTCTCAAGACAATTTTTTTTTGGAGGGGGGTCTGGTCGTGGGGCCTGAACTCTGGGCCTGGGTGCTGTTCCTCAGCTCTTCAGCTCAAGGCTAGCGCTCTACCACTTGAGCCACAGCACCACTTCCGGCTTTTTTCTTTTTGCTTATGTAGTGCTGAGGAATCGAACCCAGGGCCTCAGGCATGCAAGGTAAGCACTCTACCACTGAGCCACCTTCCCAGCCTTCAAGACAGTTTTTAAAACAGAAAATAGCAATTTTGAAGTGGTGTGCTTTCAGATATTGTTAGCATTCTATTCATTCATTTAGTGTTTTCTCAGTCATTCTCTGTGTTAACCTCTGTGTCAGTCTGCAGCCACTGGTTTTATTTGCTTCCAGGGACAATGAACTCACCCTGAGGTAAAATGGGCCAGAAATGGGCCCCAAGCAGACATGATTGAATACTAGAGGAAATGGAATTGATTTTTTTTCCAGAGGAAAGGTGAATAATAATAAATCTCCAGTTTACATTCCTTTGAAACATGGCATTGCTGGTAGGAATTTGGCCTGCTTTGTTGCACCAAGCCTTAGTCACAGTTTAGGTACTAATGAGAGAAAGCTAGGGACATAAATTATACTTGCAAAGAGAATTTTCTAAGCCAGGCTCTTGTGGCTGACACCTATAATCCTAGCTGCTCAGGAGGTTCAGATATGAGAATTGTGATTCAAAGCCAACCAGGCAGGAAAGGATAGAGATGTGGTTCAAGTGGCACTAGTCTTGAGCAAAAGAGCCAAGGGACAGCACTCTCCTTGAGTTGAAGCCACAATACTGGTGTGCCCACATGCACATACATGCATACATACATATACACATGCACATATACATACACATGCAGGCATACACACACAGATACAAAGACTTTGTAGCTACCCACAACTAAACTTGAGCACTGAGGGCTTATCATTAGAACTGGAATATAACCCAGGCAATGCTGGTGGGCTTCAGGAGGACATGGAGCAGGAGCTTCAAAGCTGCAGTGATCTTGGCAGCCACTTTGTGTATCATGTTCCTCCCTTGGCACAATATACAAAACAGAAGACAGTTACTTACCAACTACTGATTCTACTTTCTTTTTTTTGCTTGTTCTTTCAAGAGGCAAGTCTCATTTTCAAATTTCCAATAAAGAAAATCTGATTTGTACACAGTAACCTAGGAGGCAGAATTGCAAAATGCTAATATGAGGGCTTAACTTTTTCACTCAAGGCTGGCTCTCTACCCCTACTGGCTTTTTGCTGGTTAATTGGAAATAAGAGTCTTGCAACAGATGTTTTTTTTTTTAACCTGAGCTGACTTTGCACCTCGATACTCAGATCTCAGGCTCCTGGGAAGCTTGGATGACAGACATGCGCCACTGGCAACCAGCTCCAAAATTCATTAGTGATAAAAGTTGTCTTTAACTGATTCAGTTGGTTCAATCTATTTAATCTGATTCTGAGCCTAGACTTTTTTCCTTTTTGATGACTTCCTGTTTTTATTTGTTTAAGATTACATTTGGGAGTTTAAGAATCTTTTTGTTCAGCACAATTGCATAGTAGAAAACCTCGAACTGCATACAACACCGTGGTCAACCTGTGAATGCCTATTTGATGATGACAGAAGGGCTGTTGCATTTAAAAAAAAATTTCAAAAAAGTGCACCTTCTTTGGTCAAGATGTCAGACTTGGAGACCCACCTAAAGGATAAATGTTCAGGTAAGATCTTTACATAAAGTATAGCTAGGTTTAATACAAGCAAAGAAGCTACCATTTGTGAGAAATATATAATTAAATGTAAAAGTAAAATATAGATCTGTGCACATAGGAGATCCAAATGTTAGCTTTCTGCTTCCAAATCAGTGAGATTAATCTGTAATGATTCAGGATCACTTAAAATGCGTTCTATGGGTAATTACTAGCAGCTCATCATTTGATAAAGCAGAAATAAAAGTGGCTTTAATTAGAGTTACTGTTGAGATCAACTAGCTGTCATCTAGACAAGGCTAAGATCTAGAACGGATACTTTCTGTCCTGTTTTGATGTTTGTCCCCAAGGCTTCACACACTGGAAGCTGGGTCCCTACTGTGGCATCAGGAGGTGGACTTTTAAGAGGTGTGTGTGTAGGGAGGGTGAATGGGAAAGGTGAGTGAGGGTAAATATGGTCAAAGTAGACACAGACATGAAAATAGAACAATGAAACCTGTTGGAATTATTTTACAAAGAAGAAGATGAAAAAAGGGTAGAGGGGGTGAGATTGATGGTGTACATTGTATGCATGTATAGAAATATCACAGTGAAGCCCCTTTGTACAATTAATGTATGCTAATAAAATGCTTAATTTCAAAAAAAGGTGGACCTGGTGCTAGGGGCTCACATGTGTAATCCTAAGCTACTCAGGAGCTTGAAATCAAATCTCAGTTCAAAGCCAGCCTGGGCAGGAAAATCTGTGAGACAGTTATCTCTAATTGGATACCAAAAAGTCAGAACTGGAGTTGTGGCTCAAGTGGTAGAGTGTTAGCCTTGAGTGAAGAAGCTAAAACACAGCCCAGGCCCTGAGTCCATGTCCCAGTACTGCCACCAGTACTGGCAACAGTGCCAGGCAAGCTTTAGAAGAGATTGTGGGATCGTAGGCTCCCTGAGAGATTTCCTGTTAAGAAATAGGACCTCTTATATGAGCCCTGTTAATCACTATGAGATTCTTAACAGAATCAAGCCAGTACCAATACTATGCCTTGAATTTTCAGACCTGTGAACTAAATCTATTTTCTTAAAAATCTAACCTGTATTATGTAAAACAGTCTTCTGTACATCCTGAACTTAGGTGTGTACACAGGTGAAAAATTAGTCTTCAGAGGCATACCACGTAGAAGAACATTTGCGATGATGAATGGTATCACATGTTCACATATTTTCCATTAATTATAATTACAATGATTTGTTTTCTTTGAAGGAGAAAATGAACACATTTTTGGTTCACACTGTCATAGATTTGGGATTGAAGAGAGACTACAATAGTGAAAATAGCTACATAGATTTCTACAATCTACATAAGAAATAGGGTTTAGTAGATTGCATTAGCTTCCTACCAACATAATGTTAAAAAATTTATAGTAAATTCTGTTATAGATTAGCTAGCATTTGAAGCCTTTTTAAGGTTTGCTAAATGAGAAAATTATAGTAATTAATACTTTTGGAAGCTAATGAAAATTTTTCATTGGTTCTGATAGTAAATGCATTTTAGAAGTAAGAAGGGTTGAAGAAAAAAGAATATACAAACCTACATCTGTAGGTTATTTTTGTGGTACTAGGTTTTGAACTCAGAGCCTCTGACTTACTAGACAGATTCTCTACCACTTAAGCTATACTTCTTGTTCCTTTCTGCACTGTTTTATTTTTATTTTTTTAAAATATTTTTGTTAGTCATGGGCCTTGAACTTATGGCTTGGGCACTGATCCTGAGCTCTTTTGCTCACAGCTAGCACTCTACTACTTTGAACCACAACTCCACTTCTAGGGCTTTTGGGTTGTTTGTTTTTTTTAGTAGTTAATTGGAAATGAGAATTTCATGGGGACTTTTCTCCCCAGGCTGGCTTTGAACTGCAGTCCTCAGATCTCAGCTTCCTTAGTATCTAAGAATACAGGCATGAACCATCGGTGTCCAGCTCTGCACTGGTTATTTTTGGGTCTTACTTTCTGCTCACGCATGTACTTGGAGCAAAATCTACTATTTCAGGCTTCCCATTGCGTTTGAGATGATAGGTTCATGCCACCACACCCAGCTTCTCTATAACCTTTATTTTCCTGGCTGGCCTGGAACCATGCTCTTCCCAATCTCAGCCTCTCACATAGTAGGATGACTGGCCTGAGCTATCACATCCAGCTCTGGGTTGAGAAGGGGTTTGGGAGCTCTTTGTCCTAATCTGGCCTCATACTACAATCTTCCTGATCCTACTGCTCCCAAGTAGCTAGTATTATAGGTGTGAGCTGCAGACACTTGGCTGGAAGTCTGATTTGTATATATTCTGGTCAACATTTGGAGTGGACAAACTTTCTAATTTTAGTCACATGCCAGCATTCTTTCAACTATGCTACATCCTTAGCCCTATATATTGATTTTGTAATTTGTAACCTTGATAAATTTCACTCAATAGTTATTCGATGAAGATTTGGATTTTCTATGTAGATGAGCTCATTGTCTGTGAATAAAGACACACTACTTTCCAGGGTGGTGCTTATTTATTTATTTTTCTTTCCTGATTGTACTTGGTAGCTCCTCCAGTATAATACTGAAGAGAGAAGTTGTGAGCGTAACATTATTCATGATGTTAGGGAGAACGTACTCTTCCATTATTAAATATGATATTGGCAACAGGTTTTTCAGAGTCTTTGATGAGGCTATCTTGTGTTTATAGTTGAAACATTTTCATCTCCATTGTGGTTGGCTTGGTTTTTCTTGTTTTTGTTTTTTGGTTGTGGGGCTTGAACTCAGGGCCTGGGCACTGTCCCTGACCCTTTTTTGCTCAAGGCTAGTGCTCTACCACTTTGAGCCAGAATGTTACTTCTGGTTTTCTGGTGGTTAATTGGAGCTAAGAGTCTCGCAGACTTTTCCTGCCTGGGCTGGCGTCAAACTGTAATCCTTAGATCTCAGCCTCCTGAGTAGCTAGGATTACAGGTATGAGCTACTGGCACCTGGCTGGTTATATTCTCTCTCTCTCTCTCTCTCTCTCTTTTTTTTTTTGGTCATGGGGCTTGAACTCTGGACCTGCGCGCTAACTCTGAGCTCTTTAGCTCAAGGTGAACACTCTACCACTTGAGCCACAGTGCCACTTCCGGTTTTCTGGTGGTTTATTGGAGATAAGAGTCTCAAGGTGGCTGGGAAGGTAGCTCAGTGGTAGAGTGCTTGCTTTGCATGCATGAGGCCCTGAGTTCGATTCCTCAGCACCACATAAGCAAAAAAAGAAAAAAAATGGAAGTGGCACTGTGGCTCAAGTGGTAAAGCACTAGCCTTGAGCTGAAGAGCTGAAGGACAGTGCCCAGGCCCAGAGTTGAGGCCCCACGACCGGACCAAAAAAACAAAAAAAAGAGTCTCAAGGACTTTCCTGCCTGGGCTGGCTTTGAACCGTGATCCTCAGATCTCAGCCTCCTGAGTAACTGGAACCATTGGCATCTGGCTTATTTTTTTTTTAATTTCATTTTTTTTTACTTATTTTTTGTTGTTGTTGTTTATGTGGTACTAAGGAATTGAACCCAGGGCCTCATGCATGCTAGGTAAGCACTCCACCACTAAGCCATATTCTTAGTCCAGTTAAGATTTTATGGTTTATAGCTCCTAAGAATTTTGTTCATTTCATTTATGTTGTTGGCCATAATAAGAAAAAAATCATTACATAAAGTTATAATATTCTCTTACTGTCCCTTTTAATATTGTTATTGTAATATTGTTTAATATTGATATTGATCTGAGCTAATAATGGTAATTTGTTTCTCCTTTCTCTTTGGCTAGAAGTTTATCAAATTTTATTGATTTTTAACTACCTTTGGTTTCACTGCTTTTTTTAAATTTAATTTTATTTGTATCAACACTGATACTAATTTCTTTCTTTCTTTCTTTCTTTCTTTCTTTCTTTCTTTCTTTCTTTCTTTCTTTCTTTTTTAGTTGGTCGTGGGGCCTGAACTCTGGGTCTGGGCACTGTCCCTCAGCTCTTGAGCTCAAGGCGAGTGCTCTGCCACTTGAGCCACAGTGCCACTTCCAGCTTTTTCTGCTTATGTGGTGCTGAGGAATCGAACCCAGGGTCTCATGCATGCAAGGCAAGTGCTCTACCACTTGAGCCACCTTCCCAGCCCCCTGAATGACTTCTTTTCTTCTGCTTACTTAGGTTTTGCTTCTTATTTCAGCTGGAAATTGAGGTCACTGGTATGAGACTTTTATTTATTTTTACAACATGTACTTTTATTTTTTATTTTTTTGGGTCCAGTCATGGGGCCTGAACTCTGGGCCTGGGCGCTGTCCCTCAGCTCTTCAGCTCAAGGCTAGCACACTTGAGCCACAGCACCACTTCC